CCACGTCTTTGTCAGGCTCCACGATGCCATTTGCCAGCATACCTTCGCTTTTGAAGACGTAGCCGTAATGGATCTGATCCCCGGTCGAGGCCGCAAGCTGAGAGAAGACCTTCGTCAACCTAGAGGGACCAGAAGGGTCATCATCATTGCGGGGGGTCAAGAACTTGATCTTCTTGTGCCACGAAACGAAGGCATTGTGAACCTGCTCGGGCATCGGATAATAAGACACTAGATAGAGCTATGAAGATCTGAACCAATTACACTCGAAACTCCTAAACTTTAACCCGCAACTGCCGTAACTAAGACTCCCAAGAATTGGGACCCCACAACTCACAACCAAGATCGTGCTCTTAATTTCTCGTTATATGGCTACCATGGCTGAACGGCTAAACTGGCTAAACCGGTGACTGATAATCCAGAAATTCATTCGTTCCGAAGTACAGTCTAGTTAAAGTCACTGCCCCTGCATATTCGGCCTCGATCAACTCGCTGAGCAACGCCGGCAAACCTGAAACATCGTTGTCCAGATGCACGCCGGCCGCGAGCTGGATCTCAGCAACAGTCGCCTTGGCACTCAGGTTCTCTTTCCAAGATGTCCCCGGGAGGTGCTTGTCATGTGTGATGTCAGACAGCTTTTCGAGCAGAACATCTGCTCGGGCTTTGAGTCCATCTGCCGTTGCAGACAAAGCCTCGATGACATCATCCGGCACTCTGAAGGCAGGCAAGTCCTCCATGCCCAGCGCAACAAACCGAATCTTATCCTCGTTTTCATTCGGAATGCCATTGATCATGCTCTCAGCCTTCTGCTTGGCAGTCTGCAACGTCTCCTGCTGCTTCAGCAATGTCATCAAGGCGGTGCCCTTGGAGTCAGTGGCCAAACGGGCTGCAGTGTCACTGCCAAGCTTTTGGAACTTCTGCAGCTGCTTCAAACAGCCAGAGGCTTCCGAAAACAACCCCAGGTACTGCTGCACAGCTTTTCCGAAAGTTTCCTCGAAGCACTTCGAGACGGCTTTGTTCAGGCTCGGGATCGCTGCAAAGCACATATTGATGAAGTCCGACGATGCCTGCCATGCATTGCAACGAAGCTGAATTCATTTTCACCGACACGCAACAACAAACTGATGAGAATCATCGCGATCACCTCACTCTCGTCTCATGACATAAACCCGTCTGCGCCAAGTCCCTTCATGAGCCTGGCTAGCTTCGTGAGGCCGTGCTGGGTTAGGGCCGGGTAGAGATAAGCTTCTGCTGCTATCGGCATGAGCTTTGCTCGCTCACAACAATCTGACTCAAAACGACCAGCACATCAGCACCTTCAACAGAAGAACAATCTTCGCGACGGCATCAAAACAATGTCCACAAGTCTACACAATTACGAAAACTGAAGTAGCGGCACACATGGGCACACACAAGGTTTTGTAGCCTCACCCCGCAACCCAACAAGTCGAGTCGAGCTATTTAGGACGGCAGCCTCCGTGGTCAGCCGCTCCAACATAGCCCAAGACAGCGTCTCCAACTTCTTGCGAAGCTCGCCATCCATGCTGTCATTGCCGTCCTTATCCTTGCCCTTGCCAGCACAAACCTTGTCAATGGCTTTCTTCACCTGATCCACGGCCCATGGCTCTTTATACTTGCCATCGACCACGATGCTCAACCTCTCGGCCAGTGTCTCGAGGCTTGCCTGGCTGAGCTGCTGGTCCATGCCGGCTTGCCAAGCCGTGAACTTGCTCTTCAATTCCATGACGCCTGGGGCCTTGGGGAAGAAGCTCAAGGCCTGCATGAGCAACATGATGTGAGCGCTCATCTCGGGGTAGGCCTCTTTCAAGCCACACATTCGCGAAATGATGCTCTTTGTTCGGGCAAGCATGAGTTGCTGCAGCTCCTTCGTCGCATCCTTTCGGAGGGCTTTTTCGATCTCCTGGAATCCACCGACACACTCGATGAAGGCCGGGCTGATGATATCACTGCCACTGGTCTCCGAGAGGTTGTCCACATGCTTCCTCAGCTTCTCAGCGTACTTCATGGCGCCCGTGCCCTGCTGGATGACCTCGTCGGCCTTCTCCTTCCAGTACTCGTCGTCCACGAGGAAAAGCTGGAACGTCGACAGGAAGTCCTGCTGAGGATCTTTCTTGGCAGTCTTGCTGCTGCGGTCCATGGTGAGGATGTCGCTGACGTCGCTGGGGGAAGTGCCCAGATGTCCCGGTGTCGGGACAATCATCACAATCAAAGCAGACATCACCTGCTTGATCACCTCGCAGACTTGCTTGCCCTTCTCATGGAACCCCTCGAGCTCCGCCACACCGTCGTTCATGAAGGCACCCACATACTTCTCAGCCAGCATCAGCAACGCTGTGTTGTTCTTGCGCTCCAGCAGATTGAAGAAACCGGCGCTACCAACCGCAGTCAACATCTGCTCTGCCAGGTCCTGCAACCCCACACATGATTACAGTTGACTAAACTGATTGTAGCTAGCCAGCACACATCTATCATGTTGTCAGCGTGGCTGTTCCTGATGCCACAGTCCTACAGGTCCTACAGGAAACAAAGGCACTCTATGGAACTCTATTGCACTCGAGATGTATTGCTGGTCCCCAAGACTGTTTTACTCTACAAGCAGCAAAATTTAATTAGGGGGCCGTCGAGGGAGTAGCAGTCATAGTCGAGACCCTTTGGCACGACGATTTGCACAAAACTCCTGAAACACGAAGAACATTACATTACTCACATACGAACTCGGCCTGTGTGGACTGACTAATTTACTACTTAGATTAGACTAGTGACTAGACAAGACAAACAGGCTTTGCGGATTCAGGCCCGACGATTAAACGTAGACCTAGAGTTTACGGCTTCAGGGTTCGGCCAACTTGGGGCTTTCAGGAATCCTTGCCGCACACTGCCACTGGTGATGCGGCAGAAGCAACGCGGACGAAATAAATCCCATGATTATATCGTTAGATTGTACAAATCTGATGTTGGGCTAGCATCATCACACTCATGAAATAACAAAAGGAACCCCTTCGGCCTCTGACTTTGCCTCCAACTGTGTCTGTGCCTCCGCACTCAAGTCCCCTGCATCTTGGATGTCCCCTTCCACGTCCATCCACAAGAGGTCGAAGCTGCATCGGGACGAGGACCATGTCACACTCATCTCCTTCTCCTTGGCAGTCTCTTCATCATCATCGGACTCATGGCGCACCGGATGCGAGATGTGCTTCCAAGCGCAGATCATGTCCATGATCTCGTCTGTGAGCTTAGCCATGTTCGCGGACTGAGTGTCACAAAGCTCCTCCAGCTTGAACTGGATCTTCCTGGCTGAGACCTGCACCTGGATGGGCCAAGGGATAACGATGGATTCCCCCAGCAACTTGGTCACACAGACATCCAGCTCTCTGTTGCCCATGTTCTCCATCGAATTCGCCAGGGCATTTGCGCATTCACAGATGTCGATGTGCTTGGACAGAAATTTGTGCTGAAACTGCTTCGCCTTCTGCATGTCCTCGCACACACGCTTCGCCTCAATGCCGACGCAAGCTCTGTCTCTCTCTCTCTCTCTCTCTCTCTCTCTCACACACACACACACGGGGGACAAGCCACTTTGATGTGCACCCACTGCCCCGCTCACTTTAGATTGCATCAGCCCATGGAAAGAATCCCAACATAATTTGTGCATGCTTCCAGTACTTGCTCTCATGTCAGCATCAGAAGCCCTTTATGAAAACAACAGGAAATGCATGAACACAGGATACACAACGGACTTTGATGTGGCACAAGTTTTGAGGGAAGCATTGAAAACAGTGAAGTCTCGCAGAGCCGAGGCTTTCTAATATCTCATACAAAGTGTGGCCACGTGTCTACAGTCTACAGCGCAGTCGTCCTACAGCTTCAACCCATGTTCCCCTGTTCCCAAACATAACTCGCACTGATCCATGGCATGTCTGGAGAACGGCACGTACAAGCACACCACCTCGTGGTCCTGACAAAATACTTTAATACCTGAGAGCTTTAAGTCCCGTGGATTCGAGGCTGTCTTTGGATTCCTTGGTCCCAGGGCCCGGGGAGACTTGAGTCTAACAGGACAAAAGCTCTCAGACTTTGGTTTGAACAACACCTGGGACTTCAGTCTTGCAAATTTCTTTGGATCCTACGACTACAAAAAAACTAAGACTGGCTAAGACTGGATGGACTTGCATTGGGCTTTTCAATATTGTGGTCTGAAGGGACTAGGACTGAGATGTTGAAACCTTTCCTCGTTTTTGTTGCTCCTCATGAGAGCACCTGAAATTTTCAGACTTCGTTTGGAGTCTTTGCTGTTAAGGAGGATTGAGACTCTGAGGCTTTCTTTGTATTCTTTCTTGAGACTTTCTTCGGCCTACGAGACGACGCTATTTAATTTCGGAACAATCGAAACTTTCACTCTAGTCTGAAGAACCCCTGAAGCTTTGAGAATTTCCTGAAGCCTTAAGCTTTGGGCATTGCCACATATCCACATTTCAGCCTGGTAGCAGCGTCCACGCTCCTCATGAGCTTCTCGCCACTCAGCAGCCTGACCGGATCACAGTTGAGGAAACACTTCGGGGTCTGCTTCAAGGCTTGTACGACAGGCTGAAGTGCAGCAGGAAGTTGGTCCGGGTCACCATCCACCGTGGCGACCTCCTCTTGGTCCCCGGCCTTTTTCCTGCCCGCCCCCTTGGCCGATTTTCGTTTCGGCTGAACGGCCACTCCCCGTGCTACCCGCGAGGACTCGGCAGGCTGAACTTTCCGAGTCCCGTCCTCAGACTCCTCGTCGGAAGGAGGCTTGGCAGCCTCGGCCTTCGAAAGCGGCTTGTCCTTGCTCAACTTCTGGATCCTCTCCTTCAAAGCGTCGTAGGTCCGGATCGAGGCAAAGGAAGTCTCAGCGGTGAGGCCCTTAGGATTGTTTTCTAATTGTTTGGCTGCATGGAAGCTATAGACGGCGCGGCCCTGACCTTCGATCAGCTGCCTCGCCGCCAAGAGTAAGAGCTCTTCGTGTCGTATCCCAAACCGACAGCTCACACGCAATCGTCTCAAGCCATGCACGATATCACATCCGAGCCCCTCCAAAGAGAACAAGAAGAACTTCTTGGGCAACCCAAACTGGGATGGGAGCTCAATCATCTCGGCTCGGAGGATTGGGCCCGTCAGGTTGACAGAGGATAGGCCCGACAGCTTGTCGAACTCAGCCTCTGTCAAGAGACCCAGCTCAACAAAGACTTCCATCGAGGTCTCTTCGAAGTCCATGACATCACTTGGGCGAGGGATCTCATGACCTGTCTCATCCTCTTCACCAGCCCGCACCCGGCAGGCCTTCATGAACTTGCCCTTGAACTTGGGGTCTTTGTCCAATCTGAGACAAAACAATAACGAGGACTGTAACAAGGACGAAACACATCATAGAGTCATAGAGTGGAGTGAAGACCGCGCAACACAACATCATATCAAGGGCAATCAAGGGGTTCCCCACTGTATCAACTGGGCTCCAGACCGCTCACAGCAAGCCTTCCAAGCTTGCCCTGGACACATCTCCGAGAAACCACTGCAGCAATTGTAACAGCCATCATCGACAGGATTGCCCAAGCTGTCTTCCGATGCCATGGTGCAGTCCTACCGCGCTTGCTTTTGTGATTTGGCCCCGTTCGACACTACTTCCAAAATTTCAGCTAAAGCGTCTAGGAACACTTTCTAACGAGGGATTGTCCAATAGTCGCTAGTCACTAGTCTTTGCACAAGAACAACAAGCAAGTCTGCAAATTCTGCAAACTTCGTAAAAACAAAGCACCAAACAGTCCTTGGATGTCCGGCCACAGCTGTAGCACTTCTTCAAGTTCAAACGAGGAGCTTTGCGGCTCCCCGAAGCCTTACTGGCCCTACTGCCGCGGTCGCTGACTGCTTCGCCGTCGTCCGCTGCTTTGAAGCGCTTTGGCGGCTGCTCCTGCACGCGGAATGTTCCATGTTGTTTGTCACAAAGAATGGTTCCAGGGTGACACATCCAGTTGCATAACAACCACTGCTTCAATGATTCAAATGATGAGTTCGGCCCCAAGAAAAGACCGGCCAAGCCAGGATGGCACCGGATCTTCGAGCTTTAAGTCCAACACTCCCACACTGGCCAGTCAGTGGTCACTGGTCACCCAAAACAGTAGCTCATCAACCTCCCAAACCCTGGAAAATTAGGCAGTGTCTCCCTGAAAAGAGAGAACGTAGCTGCAACTACCTTACACAGTGCATATTTGGACTCCACAAAGTAATCGACATCCCTGCCCCATCAGACAGCCTGATCATCTGCACTACAGTACCATATGGCTTCAGAGCTTCACGTCAAAGACTGGACATAACCTGGATCTCCGGGCCCGTTGTTTGCTGCTGCGAAATAACTCGGAAGTATGTGCACATTTGCAAGGGCTGCAAGGTATACGCTATAGACTCTAGATTCTGGATTCGACATCTGAAACGGGCACGTGGCTTTCCCTTCGAACACCCAGAGAACAAAACGGGCTCCTGCCCGGCCCTGGAGCTCTTCCGCATCTTCCTGACTCCCACTGTGGGACGCCGTCAGATGGGAGCTGAAGTCTAAAACGGGCTGCGGGAATGGATCCTGCTCTGCTCGGCCACATCTCTCTGATCACTTCTGCCTGGAATGCACCAAATGACAACTGAGGCAAAAACAATACCAGTAGTCTGACATCTGTCTACACTACACAACTTTCTGGGATGTTTCTCACCAGCGGCCAGTGCCCGAGTCTAGGTCTGTGTCCGTTGCAGCATGATGAAAGGATGGAGCATCAGAATGCTGCTAAATGACACCTCGACGGCTGCCAACCGAGCTCAAGTGCCTAGACTCTACGTACACTGCACACTGCAACAGATCTGCTGGTTCGGGTGCACACCAATGGCAATCCAGCACTCTCAGCACTCTCAGGGTCCTCCTGAAGCTCTTTGCAGGAGAAAGCAGGAGACCCCAATTATTGATCCAGTTGTTTGCTCGGCTCCATTGAACTCAAACAGCCCACTCTTCAGTCCAACGACCATAAAGAACTCTGCAGGCCCTAGAATCGAGTGTAGAGGATCCCGAAAAAACAACGAGTCTTGTAATGGTGTAGCAGTCTATTCGCCGGGAAGAAAGTACATCCTCAGAAACACAACCCGTCTAAAAATCACAGCACAACTCTCATGAAGTACTATCATGTTTTCGGGAGTCATCGCAATATCGAGGAATGTCTAGAGTCTAGACCTAGACCTAGAAGGACTGGGGGCGGGCCTGACAAGCTGTAGACTGTAGCAAACTATGCAAAGTGGCAAGGTGCTTTGTCTTTCTGAGGTCCTGTAGGTCCAGCGCTCAAACATCACCCTACTGGACCTACCTTGGGGACCTAGACCGAGTACTAGGGCTCGGGCTAGGGTTAATAGGACAAGGACACAAGAACTGTCTGATTCCAGTCATCGGTAGAGCCGGCAAGAACACTGGAACNNGGAACACTATGACACTATGAGTTCAGCTCTCGAAAGGCTGCACCCAGGCTACTGTGCTGACTGGGCCAAGCAGAACCAATGAAATTGTTGGCCACAGCTTTCCCTGGGCCTGAAGCCTGCCTCCGACAGAGGAAGCACTGCAAGAAAAAACAGAGCGTGACACATCATATATGTACGACAGAGACTCCAGCCATCCCAAAACTAAGACTGAAGCTCTGATTCCTTCGAGAAGGGCCTGCATCGATTTGCCAGTGCAACCGTGGCACTGGAAACCAACTCCGGCCCAACATCCCACATGGCCCACTCATATCTGTCAAACATTCACACTGGGAATTGCTTCGTCAAGTGCAAGCACCACAGTATCGAGGCAAGGCATGGCAACGCCATACCCTCCCCGGCCATGTCTCTCAGCTGAGCATCCGTGACGGTCGGGGGAACCACCAAGTCTTTCGGCTGGCCGTGAAGGCTGAGCATCTCACGACCGGACAACACTCGGTCCATGGAGAACGAGTACAGGCGGGAACTCGTCGTCAGCGTGTGCTGTAGCCCTGCTGCCGTGGTGAACTTTTGTCTCTGCACAGACTGACTCACATCCACGAACTTACCTTTCATGACATCCTGCACACACACCGGCTCACACTCCACATCTGGCTCCACGTGCTTTAGGGCTGCAGCAGCACAGCAATCAAGCACCTCCAGCATCCTGGCATTGTTGCCCAACCCGGTCCCTTTGAAGGCCCTCCTGCTGGTCCAAGGCTTGTACTCAAGAGGTACCCCAATCTTCTCCCTGAAGGCTCGGCTCTCACGCTTCCACACGCCTCGGCCAGTCGAAGTCGTAGCCACAGGCGAAGCTTCGGCAGATTCCTCAGGTGTTTGGCTTTTTCATATCGGACATGAAGACCGCAAAGGAGCTTAAGTGACGGTAGCAGCGTCTCTACACCTCACACTCGACTCCAGAATCCAAACTTCTACGAATCAACAAACCTGGCTGTCACCTACACACTGCACACGCATCGTCTGATCCTTACAGACAAGCTGGTCGCGGTTTGTCCACAGACAAGACATTTCTGAGGCTACACAAGTGGTCACGAATGCACATAAAGGAACACCTGCACAGGGTTTTGCATGAATAACTACGAATGTAGATAAAGGACCACCTGCACAGGGTGCGGCGAATGCACGGATGAAATGAACGTCGGCTGGTGCTTGCACATAAATCGCATGACTCTGGTATCACATTAGTCTGGAATATGAAATTCGAAACCCGTGATTTTGCATTCCTGCGCGATAACCGCTCCTTTTGTCTCAACCTTGGCCTGTGTTCATTGTGGGTTCCTCTGAGAGTGTGGACCC